GGCCGCGGAGGACCCGGGCGGGACCACGGCGCGTCTGCCTCCCCCCCAGCAGACCAGGGAGACATGGAGCAGCTTTTCTCACCCCAGAGTACGTGGGTGGCGGGACCGCAGCAGGTCTGGGAGGTCCCGCCGTCTGCGTCCTCCGGGGCGAGAAAAGCCCCGTTCGTAAGTACGTAAGTACGGATCCGACGTAAGTCGGATCTGCGTAACTCGGGGACTGCCTGTACAGCCCACAGGCTGCCAGCAACTTGGACTAGCCAAGGATGTACCTAGATGGTAAAAAGCCATAGCAGCCACTTACCCGACCAAGACCATCCTGCTATCTAGAGCAGCAGTGCGCAACCCGTGGGCTGTCTTGATCTGGGCCCGCTTGGTGCCTAATGTACATGCAGAGGGGGACAGGTAGGGGAGAGGACTGGCATTTTAACTTAAAGGGGCCGCAACAAAATGTTCCTGGCCTTTTTTTTTTTTTCTTTTTTTTTTAACCTCAACAGAACTTCAGAATGAAAAAAGGTTGAGAACCACTGGGGATGGGGGGTGGGGAGGAGGAGGGAGAGAGAGAGACACAGAGAGAGAGCGAAAAGGACAATTTTAATGATCTCTTCTAAGTGACACTGAATGTTTAATTTTGCTTTTGCAAGAGAAATATGAAAGTTGAAAGCTTTGTCCCTTGGTGGAAATAAAATAAAAGGGATAAAGCAATCCAGGCAGTGGCTGCAGATAAAGAGCACAATGCAAGTGCACTGAAATATTTTCAAATAAAGGTTTTTTCTGCATTATTAATGGATCTGATGATTTATTTAGAAAAACCTAAGCTTGGCTGCTTATGAACACATTAAACTCCTCCTGTCTTTCAAAATAATAATGGGCAATGAGAATGACAACAGAGAAGGAAGACTATTGAATACCCCAAGAAGGAAGCTAGGTATTTTTGATAGCTTCAGAGAATCTGCTTCATTCTTGAAAAAAATTACTTAATGTCCTAGATTCATATTGTGCTTTTACTGCTAAAATGCTGCTTGTTTTTACCTGGAGCTATGAAACTATGCTTTTTTGTAAAAGGAATATAAGAGTAGGAATGACAGTCATTTAATGTAACCAAATTCTTTGCACGGCACCTTTAGATTTCTATTAACTACCCCCTCCATGTCAGAGCTCAGCAACCATTTTGTTCTCAGAGTTGATTTTGCCTGCACTAGAAGACAGACATGCATATTCTACAGTAGCTGTTGAAGTCAGTGGATAGCAAGCCCTGCTCTGTGACGGGTACTGCCCAAAATTCTCTACAGTGACTAGTGGTTCACTGTATCTATCTACCTCTATCTTGAGTGCTCAACTTTAACTCCCTCAAAGGGGCTTTCTTTGGGCACAACACTTTCTAAAAAACAGGCCCCCTTCAGGTATGTTAAGCTAGACACACAGAATGTTTAGTTGCCTGTAAAAACGTTGGCCATTTCTCATCTTTTCTAAACCTGACCCACTTCCACAGAAACTAGCTCACATCTTATTCTGTCTTGTTGTTTTCCTTACTCAACAAGAACTCACTTTAGAGCGCACATGGATCTTCTGAAGTTAGTGTACAGAAACAGAACTATCGCCACACCAGCATAAAGACAGTCAATGCCACAGTCTGGAAGGAAGCAAACTTTATCCCCCAACTTCTAATGTGCTCTTTAGTATCCTGTATTCTCTTTATGCAGCTTTGAACAATTCCAAACTTGTCTTCTGATCACACTTTTACTTTTTCCACAGCTTCTCAGTAACTCTCTTTCGCTATAGTTTTATTGCTTCATTTTTATGCCATGCTTCTTTATTTATTTCTTACTGATACAACTTGTCAAAGTGACACACAGCTCGGGGAAACGCTGTTGAAAGAAAACTAAAATCACATGCAGGATCTGGGGGGGGGGGGCAGATTTATTTCCTTGTGCAAAAGCCTCCACTGCTACATGCCAGAGAGGTGCCCTTCCAATGCATTTCCAGAAGCGTGATCCCTGAGGAGTAACCGCCATCTTCACAACGTATAGCAAGAGAACGAAATGATGTCAATTCTTTATCTTGCCTTCCTCCTCAGTCAACGCAGAAGGCCTCTTTCTGAGCTCATTTCCACAGATGTTAATCAGAAGGCAAAACTATTGGAGCGAATGGAGGTAACAGCAACACTGAATGCAGAATAACACTAAAGGAGAGAGAAGCAGGACTTAAAATTTTAGGCTCCAATCTTGCAAAGGTGCATGCATGTGCAGGGGAGCCGACTAGGGTTGCGAGATGGTTGAACCAAAAATACTGAACACCCTCTCTCCCCCCCCCCACAAAAACAACGAGGGGGGGGAATTCTGTTGAGGAAAAAAGAAAGTGGCGGGGAGGGGGACCAAAAACAACAACAAAAATAATTAAATAATAAAACAGCATGGCCCCTTTCAGAGTGAGTGCAGAGTTAGACTAGGGATAGAAACAGGAGAGCGGTCGAACACTAAGACCCAGGGAAGGCATTGCTTCCCCTTGGTCTTTAGGCTTTTTGCCAGCGGCCATTTTGTGTTCTTGTTCAAGCCAGAACTTAGCTTCCCTGTGGAACCAGGTAATCATGGGGTCGGGGGACTGGGGGTGATAGGGTCCAGGGGAGGGCTGGGGACTGGTCCCAGGCCTGGGTGCTAGAGTTGCCAGGTGTCCGGTATTTTTGCCTCCTGGCCAGGAAAAAAAAATCAGAAAATACCGGACATTTTAGGTGTCCAGTGTTTTCTGAATTTTTTTTAACCAAACAGGAGGTGAAAATTCCAGACTGTCCAGGTCAATTCTGGACACCTGGCAACCCTAGAGGGGAGTTGGGCATGTTCCCAAAGGGGTGGAGCCTCAGACAGAAGGGGTGGAGCCAGGGCAGCCAACCCTCCATTGACATCTGCAGCAAGGTGTCCCCCTCCCCAGCCTCAGAAACGGGCACTGCTCTAGCAGCTATTCAAATGTCTTGGCACTACGGCTGCCACCACTACTTCAGTAGCAGTGGCTGGGAACCCCAGGCCCTTTTGAATCACTGGGTTCGGAGGCAATTGCCCCCACTTCTCCCCCACCTCCCCAGTTGGTGGGCCTGTGCATGAGTTTATGCAAGGGAAGTGCAGTATTATCCTTTGGCTTTAATGCAGGGGTGGGAAATTTTGGGGGGGATTGGAACCACTGACTCTCAGAAAAATCAGTCAGGGGCTGCACACAAGTAAGAAGCAACAATAACTCATGTAGTCCCTGACTTAGGAGAAAGACACTCCCCACATTCCTCTTGCACACCAGGGGAGCCCAGGCTAGGAGATTTTGTGTGCTCCAGCCCTATGGTGGAATGGTGCAGGGTCCGGATCCAGGCAAGCCGGGAGGGCCACATCTGGGCCCCAGGCCTGAAGTTCCCCACCCTTGCTTTAATGGAACTATGCACAGTGCAGAATTCAGGCAGAAGAGCAGCAGGCACTAATCAGTATACAGTGAACTTCATGTCCTTTCCAAAGTGAAATGTTATTGATGGCAATTTTATAGCAAACATTGGGATGTTCTCTCTCACAGTAGAACAACAGATTTTTAAGATACTGACCACAATTCAAATCCACCACAGAGCACAAACCTCTTGTACCAGAGTGGGTCAACATTTTGCATCATTTATTTCTAAACAAACTAAAAAAAAATTGCAGTAAATTTCCATTTTTGTTGAAAACCCGAACAATCTGAAAAATTCTTTACGATCCAGCTAACGGTGTGCGCATGCGCGCGCGCACACATACACACACACACACACACACACAAATTGCTTTTTTGTGGAAAATAAAGTTCATTTCCTGAGCAGCTCCAGTTTGTGCAGGGTCTTGCACAGGGAGGCCTGGATCTTAAGTGGGGCCTCTAAGTACTACAGCAATAAAAACATTTAATGATGAGAAGAAATGGTTGATGGCATTCTGTGGTCAGTTCGGTTCCCAGGGGGATACAGAGGTAACAAAAACCGCCATCACAAGCAGCAGCACTACCACTGTAGGCAGAGTTACTAAGGACTGAATGGAAATGAAGATAGTGAACTATCTTCTCACTCTTTGAGCCTAGCTCCAGGAGTGGAATTTGCACTATATAATATAACACATTAATACAAGTTCAAATATGGTAACCCTATCAAATAGTAAACACTCCAAACTGCTTTAGACAATCACTTGAGGCACAGGATGAAGGGAGTAACAAACAGGAATCAGAAACCTACCAGCAAACAGCATCCTCCCCGAGAGCATTTCTGCCAGGATGCACCCTGCTGCCCACATGTCAATGGCTTTGGTGTAGTTGTTTGGTGAGAGGAGCAGGCGTGGTGATCGATACCATTTTGTTACTAAGCCTTCAGAAAGGTAACCCTGAAAGATTAAAAACAGACATGTCTCTATAAGTTACTTTGGAAAACACTTCACCCATCCCCACTTTTTGGTAACTGCTGGGTGAAGGGAGGGAGTTTAGTTCTCATAATCCCAGCTTGGAAAGATTTTGCATTAACTGGTCCCAATGACATGATGAGGGAGTAGACAGCATTTTTTTTTCTTTCAAAATTCTGTGAAAGAGGAATGCTGAGAAAGAGGATTGTTACTGCTGGAGATAGCAAGACCAACATCCTCACTGCACAGTCAAACTTGATATGTACGTGTATACAAACATGCATGCCCACACAGCGGTGATCTCCATGACAGCTTACTCATTGTATCCATTATTAATTCAAATGAAAGCAGCAAATGGGTTATTTTTGTTACCCCATTCTCCCTCCCTGCCTCCAGACTGTGTGCTCATTTCATCTTCTCTTTTAGACCCACAAGCTCTTCAGGACAGGGACTTGGACTTACACTTACCATGGCCCAGCATTTCGAAAGTGCTCAGCACCCACAACTGGAGCCAGGTTGTTAGAACAGCCAGTACAATGACTGTGGAGCGCTTGGAAAATCAGGCTCGACATGTTTGTAAAGCACTCAGAGTGGCACCCCAACCCCAATATTGGATTATAAAACAATGTGCTAGAGAGAGGTTTTATTCTACCTGTTAGAAAAAAAACTGCCCCCCCCCAGTAAAAAGTTTGGCCAGGCCACTTTTGCTATAGTGGGCTACAGTACTCCTTGGGAGAAACCGGCCACACCCTTCCTGCATACCATTGCCTTTAGAAAAAGGGAAGGTGTGAAAAGGGGAAAATAGCCTCAGACTCTCCCACCCGTCACCTTGGCGTGAGAACTGCGGGGCTTACCTGGTCACATGAAACCTGCACAGTTTCAGCCCAACCCCTGGGACATAGACCCCCTCCCCACTTGGTGACCGTTGGGCCACATATGGTAATATGCAAGCGCGGGAAAGCGATGTGCAGATTTGGGGATAAATACCCAACGCACAGTTAGCTCGAGGAGGTCTTCGCAACACACTTACCACCGTGTGTGTGCCTCCCGTATACTCCAAAGCACTGCGAGCCTGATCAACCAATCAGCCACCTCCCCCGACTCTCAGGCGTAACCAAGGCCTTTGCAACCGAACCGATATCTTTGAAATGTTCCGTGTGCTGTGTAAGTTGGTATGTATGATTTGATTTTTTCTTGTTGTATAAGCTGAGTGTTGTAGTTGTTTTTGGGTAGTACATAGAGTTTGTAGTTATCACTGTTATTTAATTAGTGTAACTGGATATTTTTAGAATAGAGACTATTCCCCTGGCCATTCCCATCTTTATATCTCTGACACATTTAACTAGAAATCATAGAATAAATATAATAGTGTAACATGGTCTATAAATTCATCACTGTTATAAATATTTTTTATTTGCTAAAACGGTCCACCTGGTTCTGTCCTTCCCCCCTTGGGTATGCATCATCGGTCCTGTGATTCTCGTAACACTACCCTCTACTCCTCCTATCAAATGTGGAACCCTCCCAAGTGCATGAGTCTGAGATGATGAGCCATAGAGAATCATGATGATTGGTTTAAAATTGGTATCACATAGGAGGTAGAAGTAGGAGGTTTACATCACTGGAAAAGGGAAAAGTGCAGCTCTACAATAAGAAAAGCTCTCACTTCTAACCCATCTGTCTTAGGGTTTCATCCTGCTGCCAACCACTGTAGCGTATGAGCCCCTTTCACAAAAAATCAGTAATGAAAGAGATGTGAACTTAAAATCACAACTTTATCTCACGTACCAATGTGGTTTTAGATACTTGTTAACGGTTTCAGAAATGTATTAAACCAAATTCAGCAAAGCATTGAAGTCCACGCTTAAAGTTAAAACATGTGCTTTACTTAACGGGCTAGTTACAATTTTTCTAGTTACAATTTTCTGTCTCTGAAATCTGTACCATGGACCAATTGTTTCTATTAAATCATCACAACCTGAGAGTGGACTGACTGATGAATTTTAAAAACAATGAGTAGTCCCGTGGCAGCACCTTACAGACTAACAATAGGGCCACGATAAGGTGGGTGCATAATTGGCTGGATAACTGTAGTCAGAGAGTTGTTGTTAACGGTGATAAATCCTGCTAGAAAGGGATAACAAGTGGAGTTCCACAAGGGTCTGTTTTGGGACCCGTACTGTTCAATATCTTCATCAATGATGTAGATATTGGGATAGAGAGTACGCTTATTAAGTTTGCAGATGATACCAAACTGGGTGGGGTTGCAACTTCTTTGGAGGATAGGGACATAATTCAAAATTACCTTAGCAAGTTAGAGAAATGGTCAGAGGTAAACAGGATGAGGTTTAATAAAGAGAAATGCAAAGTGCTCCACTTAGGAAGGAACAATCAGTTCCATACATACAAGATGGGAAGCGACTGTCTAGGAAGGAGCATGGCAGAAAGGGATCTAGGGGTCCTAGTGGACCACAAGTTGAATATGAGTCAACAGTGTGATGCTGTTGCAAAAAAACCAAATATGATTCTAGGTTGTATCAACAGGTGTGTTGTAAGCAAAACTCGTGAAGTCATTCTGCCGCTCTACTCTGCACTAGTTAGGCCTCAGCTGGAGTACTGTGTCCAGTTCTGGGCGCCACATTTCAAGAAAGATGTGGAGAAATTGGAAAGGGTACAGAGAAGAGCGACAAGAATGATTAAAGGTTTAGAGAACATGACCTAGGAAGCCAGGCTTCATGAACTGGGCTTGTTTAGTTTGGAAAAAATAAGATTAAGGGGGGACATGATAGCGGTTTTCAAATATCTAAAAGGGTGTCACAAGGAGGAAGGAGAAAATTTGTTCCTCTTGGTTTCTGAGGACAGGACAAGGAGTAATGGGCTTACAGTGCAGCAGGGGAGGTTTAGATTGGACATTAGAAAAAAATTCCTAACTGTCAGGGTGGTCAAATATTGGAATAAATTGCCAAGGGAGGTGGTGGAATCTCCCTCTCTGGAGATATTTAAGAACAGGTTAGATAGACATCTGTCAGGGATGGTGTAGTCGGAGCTTGGTCCTGTCTTGAGGGCGGGGGGCTGGACTCAATGACCTCTCGAGGTCCCTTCCAGTCCTATTATTCTATGATTCTATATATAGTATCATGAGCTTTTGTGGATAAGACTTCTTCAGATGAACATTGAGTGTCTTAATCCCATTTGAAGAAGTGGGCTTTACCCATGAAAGCTCATGGTACTATACATATTTTTGTTCATCTCTAAGGTGCCACAAGACTACTCATTGCTTTTAAAGTTACAGACTAACATGGCTTCTCCTCTGTGACTGATGAAAAACAAGAGTCTAACACTACCAAAGTTCAATAAAGCTTAGCTGTTCTGGTTTTTGTTTTGTGTTATTTTGTTGTACAAACATTTAGAAATATTCCCAAATTAAAAATAACCAGTAATTCACAGAAAGACACACCATGTATTTACTAAGCTCATTTGTTAGTGACTGTGTTTATATACACACAGACATCAACACCTTAAAAGCGTAGATGAAACTGTAGCCAGAATCATAATTATAAAACTGTTAAATAGCTGACACTGCATAATAATTAGCTGTGGAGGAAGAAACTCCGTGTGTGATCCTATATCTTACCTGAATTAGTATCTCAGAGAACATTAACTGATGAACTTGCAAGGTTTTACTTTTTTAATACAATTCACTGTTAAAATTTGCATGCCTTTGTTGGTTTTCTGCAGAGACTTACATTTTATTCTGTAGTTCACATGAATTATTTGTCAGATTTAATACTTTCAGAGGGGTAGCCATGGGTGTTGTCTAGACTACCGAGTTTTGTCGACAAAAGTGGACTTTTGTCGACAAAACTATACCAGCGTCTACACTACCACTGAGTTCTGTCGACATAACATCGACAGAACTCAGCAGTTTTGTCGACGCTGGTATACCTCATTTTACGAGGCATAACACCTTCCGTCGACAGAGTTCTGTCGACAGAAGGTGTTATTGCCTGTAGGGTTGCGTCCAGACTACGGGGTTCTGTCGACAGAGCAGCTTGCTTTGTCGACAGAACTCAATGTGTCTGGACGCTCTTTGTCGACAGAAGTTTTGTCAACAGATACTGTCGACAAAACTTCTGTTGACAAAACGTGGTAATCTAGACGTACCCCATGTTACTCTATTTCAGCAAAAATGAGGAGTCCTGTGGCACCGTAAAGACTAACATTTATTGGGCATAAGCTTTCACGGGTTGGAGTTCACTTTGGCAGATGAATGAAGTAGAATCTTGAAGTTTGGCAGGTAATTAGTAGACATTCTCTGTGCTTGCTTGCTGGCTGGTTGCTGTGGATGACATTTTGTTTTGAAGCTCGGTGTTTGCACAGACCCCTGAATTTCTCCTCTGTTTTAAAGGTGGGTCACTGGTTCCTTATGAGACTCTGAGCAAATCGCTCAACCTTTTTGTGCCTCAAGAACCCCTTCTATAAAATTGGCATGATATTTCCCTGCCTGAAGGAGTGTGAGGGAGGCTTCGTTTGTAAAGAACTACCAGATCAGCACATGAATTGCAATATTAAGCTACCCAAAACACAGGAAGAAAACGTGCGAGGAGACATGTTCTTGCAACCTGCCAGGAAACTCCACGCTGTATTCAGAACATGCAAGACAATCCAAAGCCTTAGAAAATATATTTGTTCAATCTGTGTTTACTCCTTCAATAAAAGGATCTTGAAAATGAGAGAAGATAAACAGTCACTAGCTGGACAAAGGTCAGTGCTTGGGTATGTCAGGGTCAGCACTTGAGAGCACACATTGTTTATGAGAATGGATTTAAAATGTTTATCATTTGATCAGCCAAGTAAAGAAAAGGTCAGCTGTATAAATACATGATACCCCCTAAAAGCAAAGATAAGAACAATTTAGACATTTAAATGGATGAGCAAAGCATACCCACAATACTCCCTGTACAAGCAAGGAACCAATCACCTCC